CAAGACAAAGGAGAGCTTCTAATGTGTACTTTAATCCTTCTTGGGATGTACCATTCTTTGAAGTTGGTATGAGATTTCAAAATGCAGCACAATTCAAGGAAGCAGTGAGAAAGTATTCTGTGAGGAAAGGTTGTCCTTTACTCCATATAAGGAACGAGCCTAAGAGACAAAAGTTCATTTGCAAATCTGGTTTGTGTTGTTGGGAGATTTACGGTTCATTTGTCAATAAAGATGACAGTTTCCAGGTAAAAACATACTACTCTGAACATACATGTGTTAAAAATTCAGAAAACAAGATGATGACAGCTGTGATGGTTGCTGAGTACTTTAAATCAAGAATTTATGCTACACCTTTCTTGAAATGCAAAGATATGATGATATTTGCATACAATGAGTTGAGGGTTAGTATAAATTATAAGAAATGTGTTAAAGCCAAGAAGATGGTGTTGAAGGAGATGGAGGGGAGTTTTAAGGATGAGTATGCCATTATTCATGCATTTGGTGGGTATTTGAAGGAGGTCAATCCTGGAAACTCAATTTTCATTAAAACTGAAGAAAATGATGTTGGTGAGAGAGTGTTCATGAGAATGTATGTTTGTTTGAAAGTTATCAAAGATGGTTGGAAGAATGGTTGTAGAGGAATCTTTGGAGTTGATGGTTGTTTTCTGAAGGGAATTTGTAAGGGTGTACTACTGTTTGCTGTTGGTCGTGATGGAAATAACCAGATGTACCCAATTGCATATGCTGTAGTTGAATCTGAGAACAATGATTCATGGACATGGTTCATGCAAAGGCTTGCATCTGATTTGGAGCTTGGAACTGGGCAGGGTTATACAATGATATCTGACAGGCATCCAGTATGTATTTTCATTATTTTGTATATTCTTGATATTTTACTTGTTATGTTGTTAAATAACTTGATTTATTAAATTAATCTTGTAGGGAATTATCTGTGCAAAGGCAGAGGTTTTGCCACTTATAAATCACAGATATTGTGCGAGACACCTATACTGCAACCTTGCAAAGAGGCACAGAGGGGATGATATCAAACTGGCCTTTTGGTTAGCTGCAAGGGCATCATACCAAATTGAATTTCTGGAGAAAATGGAGGAGTTGAGGGGAGTATCCGAGGAAGCTTATGCTGAGATGATGGATCTGCCAGGAAGGTTTTGGTGCAAGGCATTCTTCGATGAAGACTGTAAGTGTGATGTTGTTGATAACAACATGTGTGAAACATTCAATTCGTGGATTTTGGCTGCTAGGTGTAAGGCAATCATTTCTATGATTAGAGCTTTAATTGACCAGTTGATGGAGAGATTCAGGGAAAAAAGATTGTTTGCAGAGACATGGCCGAATGATATTGCACCTAGAGTCATGAAAAAGATAAAGGAAAATACCATGAGGTCAATGCAGTGCTATGTTAAGTGGAATGGGGACCCTTCATTTGCTGTGTGTGATACTACTGTTGATGTGACACATGTCATTGATTTCATAGCAAAAAATTGTTCATGCAAAGAATGGAATTTAACTGAAATCCCCTGCCCTCATGTCTTGGCAGTTGTTAGGTACATGAATTGGAATTATAAAGATTTTGTTCATGAGCACTATAAGAAGGAAAAGTACCTGCAAGCTTATGGGACTGCATTGGAGTGCCTTAGAGGCAATGAGGTCTTGAAGAGGAGACCAAAAGGAGGTTGTTTACCACCAGTGTTGAGAACACCACCAGGACGACCAAGGAGGAATAGAAGAAAAGATAAGCATGAGCCTAAGAAAGTTAAGGTGGGGAAATTCACCAGGTTGTCCAAGCAAGGGTCTGTGATGAGTTGTCGCTTGTGTGGTCAACAGGGACACAATAAAGCTGGATGTCCCAGAAAGGAGGAATTAGTAGGGACCAGTCAAAGCAATGTAAGTTTACACTACCTCATGTAAATTTTTATCTTTTTTGTTGGCTTTAATTTCAATGTTGCAATTTCAGG